CCTCCCTCCCTCCCTCCCTCCCTCCCTCCCTACCTCCCTCCCTCCCTCCCCTGTCTCTGCTTTTTTCTCTCTACCCCAAGACAGGGTTTCTCTATGTAGCCCTGGCTGTCCTGGAACTTCCTCTGTAGATCAGGCTGGCTTCAAACTCTCAGAGATCTGATTGCCTCTGTCTCCTGAGTGCTGGGGTCAAATGTGTGGGCTACCACACCCAGCTATGTGCTTTTTAAAGGGATCTCTTGTGCATTACTGAATGATGTTCATTCATTCAGTCAGTTATGCATTCACTATGTGTGCTGTGAAAGGTAGAAGAGACTCAAAATTAAGAAAGACTTACTGCCCTTGAGAAATTCTTATGGTAGAAAGGGAAGAAAGGACAACTCAGCATTGCTAGAAGGCAGCAGATGAGGCTGCTTAGCAAGAGTTGGGGACAGTTGGGCAACCTTAGGTTTTCTACTTAACCTTGCTTCTGTGCCTTGGTTTCTTCACTGGTGAAATGAGTAGAATATGTGATTTTTATCACATTTAATGTGTCACAAGAAAATGAGCTGAAAGCAGTTCTTTCCCAAGTCTGTTATGATGCTTTCCCCAGGGCCTCTTTGAGTCTGGCACAGTTCTGAGGTAGATGTTACACAGTGCATGGCACCTAGTAACTGACTGTGGTGAACTCTGCTTGGGTCCCACATGCCACTAAAGGATGACAGGAAAAGAGCTTAGAAAGAGTAGCCTGAGCACAGACATGATGGAAGAGCCTGATGTTTTCAGAAACTGGAATATGTGTTGTAACCGCAAGGCAGGGCATGTAGGCAAGTGGTGAGAGACGAAACGAAGATACTGAGGATCTTGCTTACTCTTAGAGTTGGAACTTAATCTGATTCATGAGATGGAGCTTTCAGAAGTCTGTTTGGTTTTGTGTTGTTTTTAACGAGCCAGCTATATTTGTTCATTTCTTGCATTTGAGGAACTTTTCAGTAATGTTCTTTATGGCGTTTCCCCTCTAGGTCAACTTTGCAGTGGCCCACCCATTACCCTAGTCTTTTGCTGTCATCAAATTTAGTTTGTTTTGTGCTCAATACAAAGGGTCCATCAAGTTGACATACACAGCTGGATGGAAACACACAAAGATGGTCTTAGACTTGGCTAAGGCTTTGGCAGCTTTGAGAATTCCACACAGTAGGACATGTGGATGTGGTTTTCAGTACCTCTTGTTGTAAAGCAGCATGGATGTGCATTACAACTCCAGTAGTTATGCCTTGTTTGGCCATGGCAGTGGGTTATAGGTGAAGTCCAGTCTTGAATGCACTTTAGCCTCTGCTGCCACATGACATAGCAGTATTGTGAAAAGACTTTCTTTCTTTCTTTCTTTTTTTTATTTTTTTGAGATAGGGTCTCATGCAGCCCAGGCTGGTTTCAACTAAACCAAAGGTTGAGCTCCTGACCCTCCTTTCTTACATCTAGGAGTGCTGACATTATAGGTGTGCTCTGCCATACCTGGCTTAGTCTTGCTAGGTAAGTCACTGTCTGTTTCAGAAGAGTCCTTTGGTGCTCCTGTGAAGGAGGGGCCAGGAAGAAAGAGATTGCTGAACACTGATGGTAGGTGAGAGTCGGAACAATCATACTCCAGAGGTGGGTCTGTGGGCTTGGGAACTGGTGTTTGAAGGAATGTGGAGATGAAGTATCCAGCTGGGCTCTGATGCCACTTGTTGACAGAAAGCAGGCAGAACAGATTCTTCCTTCCTAAAATTTCCATCTAGGCACTGGGAATGTAGCTCAGTGGTAGAGCACTTGCCCAGCAAGGCCCTGGGTTGCAATCCCTATTGCTAATTAAAAAAAATACAATCATTTAAGATGGACTCAGTGTGGTAGCAGATGCCTTTAATCCTAGCACCCAGGAGTTAGAGGCAAGTAGATATCTATGAGTTCAAGGGCAGCCTGGTCTAGATAGTGAGTTTTAGGATAGCCAGAGCTATGTAGAGAGACCCTGTCTCTAATTAATTAAGTAGTAATAAAAAAGAAAGGTAGACTACATCTTCCTGATCCTCAGAGCACATTTTGTAAGACATTTCTAAGTTCATTTTATTCCTCTCTTAGCCTTTTTTTCTCTCTTGGGTCTTATAGACAGCTGTTTCAGACTAGCAGTTATTGATCTTAGGCAATTAGGGCAGGAGGTAACTGTGTTTATGTCACTCTCTGGTGTCTCCTGGGGCAGAGAGTGAGGTGAAGGTCATGTGTTTTCACATCATTTGTATGAATGAAAAAATTGGAATAGCCTCCCCACTCTGACAACACTTTCTGGGTTTTCCTCTCCCCAACTACTATGTAGGAAAGCTTGTGAAATAAATTCTCTCTAACATTTCTACACTCTTAGCAATTTTCCACTTTTTTATTTTTAATTTTTTAAATTTTTTTATTGTTTTGGTTTTTTGAGACAGGGTTTCTCTGTATTGCTTTGGAGCCTGTCCTGGAACTAGCCCTGTAGACTAGGCTGGCCTCGAACTCACAGAAATCCACCTGCTTCTGCCTTCCCAAGTGCTAGAATCAAAGGCGTGCGCCGTCAACACCCAGCTTTCCACAAATTTTTTATTCAGTTTTTTGGCCAGGTCAAGAAATCCTGAGCCTACTTTGCTTTGAGCTGTAGCAAGACACTTTCTCATGGGTGCCACGTCCCTGTCTCAGGGTGGCCTGGTTCTGTGTAGCTGATCTGTGTAGCTGAGAAGGTGGGAGGTGGCCTCTCCTGGTATCAGGTCTTGGCTAGGCCTCTCCTTTTCTCTGCTCAGTTGTTTTAGCAAGTACCTGAAGTTGAGAACATCTTGACTGTCACTCAGCCAAACAGTGGGACAGCTTGTTCCAGGAATTCTGTCCTTGTCCTTTACCTGCAACTTCCTCCTTGCTCTGCCTTTTTCCTACTTACTAAAACTGTCCACCATGATTATTCTTAGTTTACAGTCTCTTGGTTTGAAGAACAGAATACTTAAAGTCCTTCTTTTCTACTTTCTCATCTGTTTTTTTTTTTAATTCTATTTTTAATTTTAACATTTAAGCTGGGTGGTGGTGGTGGCACACGACTTTAATCTCAGCAGTCAGGAGATAGAGGCAGGTGGATCTCTGTAAGTTTGAGGCCAGCCTGGTCTACATAGTGAGTTCCAGGACAGCCAGGCTACACAGAGAAACTCTGGAGAAAGAGAGAGAGAGAAAGGGGGGGGGGGGGAGAGAATATAAGATGGTTCCATCATGACAGTTCATATATGTGTCAGGATACTTCATTCTCATTTGCTCTTCCCCCTGTATCTTTCTCTCTTCCAGCTTGTTCCCCTTCTTCCCCAGTTAGTAACCCCTTATTCCTTTTTTTAGAACATGCATTCCATTACTGTATTTCCCACCTACATTAAACTCTTTTCTTTTCCTGTCATAATCCCTTTTAAATCCATCACACACATATGTTCCTAGCCTTTTCTCCTCCCAAGGCGACTTTTCTATGTTTCAAGTCTATAGACCACTTGAGGGGATGGTAAGATGGCCATCAAGTAAATAGACTACTTTAGTGAGTGGAAGAGCATATTGATCATCTCTGTCTGTGTTCCTGAGGAAAGTTGTAAGCTTCCTCAGATTGAGTAGAGTGAGGGGTTTCTCTTCTTGTAAAACATCATTGAAAAGACTTATATTATTTTTAGTAAAGAGTTGATTCCCCACTCATGAAAGTAACTATGAGTATTACTGTTTTATAAATCATAATCATATGAGACCTGCACTTTGAGTCTGTATTGAAACCTCTCGCCTTGGTATAAAGGTACCTAGTTGTCTTAATACATCTGAAAGGGAATAGCTGTTGTTTTTGTTTGTTTTCAAATAGAAAATGGCCTTGAAGTCAGAGATCTGCCTGCCTCTGCCTCCTTAGTGCTGGGATTAAAGACATTCACTACCACCACCTGGCTATGTTCTTTTTTTTTGTTTGTTTGTTTTGTTTTGTTTTGGTTTTGGTTTTGTTTGTTTGTTTGTTTGTTTTTGAGACAGTTTCTCTGTGTAGCCTTGGCCTATGTTCATTTTTAAAGTTCTAAAGAAAACATACAAGTGAGGTCTGATGGTATAAACTGTATGTATCTCTTAAAGTTCCACTTAAAAGGTATTGTACATATCTTTTCATGTCCTCATAGGTCCTTTCATTGCATGCTTAATGACTCCCTCATAGTCTATTTTGTGTAGGGAGCAGACTCATTAATAAAAGGAATGCACCCTTAGCTGGATGTGGTGGCTTACGTTTGTTACCCCAGCACTTGGAAGACTTAGACAACTGCAGGGTTGGTGCCAGCATAGGCTACAAAGTGAAACCAAAAAAATAAAGCATCAATAAAGTTTTTATTAGAAAAAGAGAAACATGTGGCTTCAAGATAGAGGTACTACAGAGCCCATGAGCTGTTGTGAAATCCAGAGAGCTAGGTTTCACAGCCCTCAATTTCATGAACAGTAATTGCAGATTTAATAACTTGGTGCAATTGACATGGATGTTAATAGTTGTTGTCTATAAGTCTTTGGGCTGTTTTTTTAATCATGCATTTTGCTTTTTACAATTTGTTTTTATTTCATGTACATTGATATTATGCCTGCTTGTATGCCTATATGAGGGTGTCAGATCTTGGAGCTGCATGTAGGTGCTGGGAATTGAACCTGGGTCCTCTGGAAGACAAGTCAGTGCTTTTAACCACTGAGCCATCTCTCCAGCCCTGGGCTGAGGTTTTATAAAACCTTTCTGGATCTGAAAAATTCTTAAGAAACATGTCTGCGACATCACAGTTTGTTAAAGGCAGGTGATTTTGACTTCCATGGTTTCCTTTCAAGGGAACTAAGCCAAGAGCTTTCATTCTATTTGAGTTTGCACAGTACCTTGCCTATCAGGAAACACTTGGCAGGTACTTGAGCAGTTAGGAGTTTCGTCTTGATATGGACTTGCTGAGTGAAATCTTGATTGACGAGGCTGGGTTATTCTACACCTTTGTTTCTTTTCACAGGCAGCGTTTTCCTCAGTGCTATTTTTCTTGCCTTAGCAACCTACCAGTCTCTATACCCAATCACCTTGTTTGCCCCAGGACTTCTCTATCTCCTCCAGGTAAGCACTTGCTGGTGCCAGTGCCCAAGTGATACTTAGTACATGGCCTGGTCCCTTCTGGGAGTTGTGGGGAGGAATGGCATGGGTCACAGACAGCATTTGGAACTAGGGATGTAGCTTAGTGGTTAGATGTGATGTTTGCCTCACAAATAACAAAGCAGAGTTTTTTGTTTTTGTTTTTTTGAGACAGGGTTTCTCTGGTTTTTGGAGGCTGTCCTGGAACTAGCTCTTGTAGATCAGGCTGGTCTCGGACCCACAGAGATCCACCTGCCTCTGCCTCCCCTCCCCGAGTGCTGGGGTAAAAGGTGTGCGCCACCACTGTCCGTCTCAAAGCAGACTTTTAAAAGTGTTACTGGGATTGGGCCTTCCCGCTTGTACTTGGGAAACAAAAAACAAAGAGGACTAATATGAAACAAAGGAGACTTAATGGCCACTAAGTTTTAATGTGTCTGTCATTGCATGTGTGTAGGAACAGTTCACTTAGAGTTGATATCCACTAAACACTGGATACTTTCTTTGTTTTACCTAATGTGCTTAGATCTCTGTGAGCTCATGCTTTGTTTTTTTTTGTTTGTTTGTTTGTTTTGTTTTGTTTTGTTTTTTCCTCAACAATTGCAATTGCCTTGTAAGGTTCTTACAGTGATTATGCAAAATGACAGTTTTTTAATTAAAGACTTATTTTTATGTGCATTAGCACTTCACCTGTATATATGTTTGTGTGAGGACACCAAATTCCCTGGAACTGGAGTTACAGATAGCTGTGAGCTGCCATGTAGGTGTTACGACTAGAATCTGGGTTCTCTGGAAAAGCAGCCAGTGCTCTTAACCACTGAGCTACCTCTCTGGTTCCCTAAAATGGCAAATTTTAAATAGTGTCTGCTATTTTCAATAAGCAGTTGACTCCACACTGGTGAAAAGTGATAGTAGGTATTGTTGATGTAAGGCACCAACAAGCCTTACACCATTACACCTGGCTGACTTCTGCACTACTTTGGAATGTAGGCTACTTTCCTATGAACATAGTGGTCATTACAGACCACAATAATTGAAGAATACAAAGTGATGATATTTGTGGAGAATAGCCTACATATGAGGCACTTATGTTAAGCCCTCTGCAGACATCATCAATTTTAAAGAACTAAGGGGTAGATTCTATTATTAGCCACAGAATGACTAAATATACTTCATTTAGACACATGAATTAAAACTAGAATGTTGGGAGGTTCAGTCACCTAAACCATCAGATGACAGCCCTGAGCTAAGAGCTCAGGTAATCTGACTCAGGAGTTTGCTTTCTAACCATCTCTTATTTTCAGCTTATAAAGAATATACACCTCGGCTAGGTGGTGGCGGCGCACGCCTTTGATCCCAGCATTCCAGGAGGCAGAGACAGATGGATCTTTGTGAGGTTGAGGCCAGCCTGGTATACAAAGCTAGTTCCAGGACAGGCTCCAAAGCTATACTGAGAGAAAAACCTGTCTCAAAAAAAAAAAAAAAAAAAAAAAAAAAAAAGAAAGAAAGAAGGAAGGAAGGAAGGAAGGAAGGAAAGAAACAAAGAAAGAAAGAATATCCACCTCACACTTGAGATGTAGCTTGGAAGTAGAGCACAACAGTCAGCATCCATGAAGTGCTCTAGGTTTGATCCTTAAGTATTCATCCTACCCCTTAAAAAAGAGATGGGCACTGTATTAGAGACACAAAGGGATCCAGGTTCATTCTTAGAGGAGAAGTTTGCTGAAACTTGGCAGCACTGGGATTCACATACAGAAGAGTAGTTTGTAGCCAGGAAAGACTGCACACTTCCACTCATTAAAATGGGCCCTGTGCTTATCATTCTAAGTTACTTAGTGATGTGGAGTCATATTGATATTGATGAACACAGTAGTAAAAGGTTAATTCTTTTATTTGTAGAACTTGAGATACCTATTTATTGTTAGTAGTGTGTGTGTATAGTAGAAATTTGTTTTTTGTTTTCTTCTTCTTCTTCTTCTTCTTCTTCTCCTCCTCCTCCTTCTTCCTCCTTCCTTCCTTTCTACTTTCCTTCCTTCTTCCTTCTCCTCCTCCTTCTTCAAGAATTGAGTGTAGGGCTGTACCCACAACAGTCAAATGCTCTACCACTAAGCCAGATCCTCAAACTCTTTTCTTACTTTTTAAAAAATTTGAAATACTGTTGGTCAATGGTGGTGCACACCTTTAATCCCAGCACTTGGGAGGCAGAGGCAGGTGGATCTCTCTGAGTTGGAGACCAGCCTGGTCTACAGAGCTAGTTCTAGGACAGCTAGGGCTGTTACACAGAGAAACCCTGTCTTGAAAAAAACCAAAAACCAAAAACAAACAAAAAAAATTGAAATACCATCTACTAAATTACCCAAGCTAGCTTTGTATTCACAATGTAAGGCAGGGTTTCTGAGTAACTGGGACAACAGGCTTTTGTACTACCAGGCCAGCTTGAAATTTATTCATTCTTCCTTTCTTCCTTCCTTTTTTCCTTCCTTCCTTTTCCCTATATACCTTCCTTCCACCCTTTTTACTCTTCTTCCTTATTTATTTATTTATTTATTGGTATATGCGTGTGTGTGGTCATGTGTTGGTGTGTATGTCCATGTGGACACCCAGAGTCCAGAAGAGAATAGTGGGTATCCTTTTCTAGCATTCTTTTCCTTATTCCCTTGAGACAGGGTCTCCACTGAACCTGGAGCTAGGCAGTAGTCAAAAAGCCCCATGGATCATCTTGTCTGCACCCCAGGTAGTGCTAGGGTTACAGGTGTGTTTGTAGACATGCCTGGCTTTTTATGTGAGTGTGGGAATTTGAAATTGGGTCCTTGTTCTAGCACAGAGAAAGTAAGCTCTCACTTTCTGATCCCTCTCCCTAGCCAATGACAAGTTTTTTCTCTATTATTTTCTAATTGAATCCAAGGCTGTGAAAAGTTTTATAGTTATTATATGCAAAAACCAGATTGTTCATCAGAAATCTTGAGCCAGTCTCTGGTGTCACCAGCAGTATCCAGAGGAGTGAGCTGTCTCCTTATCTGGCAGCACTGGCTTTTCAAATTAGATTTGTGGTTGCTAGTTTAATAGACAAATCATTATATGGTAAAGTTACTTTGTTTTGATTTTCTTTTATGTTCTTGTTAAAGTCAAGCCTTTCCCACATAATTAGTATGTATTTGCTGTGCATTCAGATATGTGCATGCGTGTGTGAGATTATGTGTAGGTGTGCATGCCTTTATATGTGCATGTGGAGGCCAGAGGTTAAAATGAGGTGTTCTCTATAGCTCTCCACCTTTTTTTTTTTTTTTTTGAGACAGACTCAGTGTGTGGTTCTGGGTGACCTAGAACTCACTGTGTAGACCAGGCTAGCCTCAAACTCTGAAGTCTGCCTGCCTCTGCCTCCCTAGACTGGGATTAAAGGCTGTGCCACCGTGCCTGCTGTCTCCACTTTATTTTTGAGAGGGTCTCACTGAACCTGAAGCTCACTGACTCAGCTGGACTGTCTGGCCAGCAAGGCCCAGAATCCCCTTATCTGCCTCCTCAGAGCTGGAATTACAGGTCCATGACACCATGCTAGACTTTATTTAGGGGTGCTGGAGATGTGAGCTCAAGTCCTCAAGCTTGTACAACAAGCATTTTACCCACTGAGCCAACTCCATAGCCTGTGCATTTCCTTCCTTCCTTTCCTTTCCCCTTTCCTCCTTGCTTTCTCCTTTTGCTTCACCCTCCCAAGTGCTGGGTGTACACATGTATACTACCACTAGCTGCATTTTCTTCCATTTCCCACCCCTCTCAGACAGGGTTTCTCTGTGTAGCCCTGAATGGCCTGAAGCCCCTTCTAAAGACCAGGCTGTCCTCAAACTCAGATATCCTCCTGCCTCTGCCTTCCCAGTGCTGGGATTAAAAGGCGTGTGCCACCATGCATGGCTTCTTTCATCTTTTATATATAAACTTATGCTTTAGGAAATCTGACCTGGGACCAGCAAGATTGTTTGTCTGGTACAGGTGCTTGCCTCCAAGTCTGATGACCTGGGTTATATCCCCAAAACATAAATGAGGAAAGCAAACCAATTCCCACAGTTGTCCTCTTACTACTGCAAATACACTGTAGCATATGTATGCATATATGTGTGTGTGTGTGTATATATATATATATATATATATACACACACACACACACACACACACACACACACACACACACACACACACACACAAATAATAAGTAAATGTAACTGAAAATATAAAAAGAAAACCTGAACCTGAATGTAGCAAGGAGCTAACATTTAAACTAGGTATAAAATGAAAAAAGAGAAATAAATAGACTAAATGATAAATGTTTGATAATTGTATCATTTCAACATTTTGCATACTTGAAAAATTTCAGAATAAGGAAAAAGGGAATAGGATACAGTTTGTAATATCTTGGTTTGGACACTCTTTGCTTCCCTCTTCCGTTTCCTCAATTATAAAATAGGATAATGGGCCAGCAAGATGGATCAGCCTGTAAAACACTTGTCAGGTAAGCCTGACAACCCAAGTCAGATCCCCTGAATCCACAATGGAAGAAGAGTCCTCACTTCCACAGTGGCCTTCTGACTTCCAATCTCACAGCATGGCATGTATGTGCCATGCTTACATATCACACACATGTGCACACATGGATGTGCACATGCACACACTAATAATAATGATAAATAAAAATTCAAAACAGGACAATAGTACAATGTTAAAAAGGTTAATGCATGTTGTGTATCTTGAATACAGTCTGATGAGAGCTCAGTAGGTGTAGTTCTTCAGTGTTCAAATGGCGATAATGTGGTCATGGAAAGGACATAGTCACCAGCTTATAAATATGAGGGGTGATGAGGGGAAAGGAAATTACTTCTTTTCTAGAATCAAAGGAACTGTGAAGTTAGTTTGACACCATAAACCTGGCTCCATTATGCTGGTAAAGTTTCTAGAGACTGTGAAACGAAGATAGTGGATAAGCTAGTGTGTCGTCAGAACCAAAGGGAAAGACTGTTTTTCTGTTCTCTCAGGAGATACGGGGTCAAAAGAAGGGATGCTGCATCTGGCTTCCTGGTGAGTCACTGATGAAAATGATAGTTTGAGCCCATCTGGTTCCCTCCCCCAACTCTGCTCTTCCTTTGACCTTGGCTTGGAGCCTAGTTTCCAAATTAGAGAGATGCTTACAGTGTTATGATCTGATAGCACACAGAATAAAGCAGAGAGCCCTGGCATGTACAGCATCAGAGTCCACAGTGGAAAACAAGCTGAGCTTGTGCCCTTCGTGGTGGTGCATATTTGTAACTACAGCATTCAGGTGACTGAGGCAGGGGGATTGTCATGAGTTTGGGGGCCAGCCTGATTGTATAAAGAGGTCCAGGCCAACATGGGCTACATAGCAAAAACCCAAAACAAATGTACAGAAGGGAAAAAGAAAATAAATAAAAAACTTGAGACTGTGATGCTGATGAGGGAGACTAGAGGTAGGGGGTTAAGGGAGCTCCTGGCATAGCCCAGGAAGTTTCCTTTTCCCTCTTCCTTTTTGTTTGGGATTCTCTCTCTTCCTCTCCCTCTCCCTCCCTCTCTCTCTCTCTCTCTGTCTCTCCCTCTCCCCCACCTCTGTCTCTCAGGCTAAAGTCTCCTACATGCATTATTGGACTTCAAAGCATTTAAAATATGGAACATTTGACAAAGGTACATGTTATCCCTGCCCAGGAGCCTTGTTAATCTCTGTATTGTTCCAGTGTTAGCATATGCGCTGATAAAGAGAGATTTTCTTGGAATTCTTAAAGCCTTGGGTTTGAGACCCTGTTCTCTTTCAAAGACAGTAAGACAGTAGCAGACACTGAGGAAAAACCTTGTAGGCGCTCTTTTGACTTTTCCTTTTTCTTTAATACAATCTGACCATTTGCCTTTGAATTGAAGTTAAGCCTATTAATGCCATATTTTTCTATGTCTTGGGGTAGGTCATTTCATGATGCCTAACAAGGGAGTCAATCCCATCTGGTTTTTCTTGAAAGCTGCATTCTTCCCAGGCCTTATTCAGGAGGAGGGGGCCCTTATTTAGAATTTTCCACCCTGCTCCATGTCCCTAACAGCTTTCTGTTGTTTGTTCTGCATCAGAAGGACTCCAGGACTGAGGTAGCAGGGCTGTTGGCTTTTTCCTTTTTACAAATGGGCAAAATATGGGGCAGAGCTTTTCGTTTATTTATGATTCACTGTACTCCTGATCCTTTTGCCTCAATAGTCAGCTATTCTAGCTTTCTTGTTGTGTTTCAGGCTAGTGAGAGACCCTGTCTCAAAAAAAAGGCTGGTGGGTGGTGGTGGCACATACCTTTAATCACAGCACTTGGGAGGCAGAGGCAGGTAGATCTCTGTGAGTTTGTGAGTTCAAAGCCAGCATAGTGAGTTCCAGGACATCCAGGACTGTTTCACAGAGAAACCCTGTCTTGAAAAACAAAAAAAACCAAAACAAACAAACAAACAAAAAAACCAAAAAAAGAAAGAAAAAGTAAGGAACAGCACCAAGGTTGTCTTCTGCATTCACATACACAGAAGTATACATATACACATGTGTGTACACAGTCACAAAGATACACATATATACAAATAGTAGGAAATGCAAATATAAAATGAACTTTATAAAAATGCAATCTTTTTATGTATACATGTGCATGTATTTTTGTTTACATGTGTAAGACGTGTGTATGCAGATGCACATGAACACGTGTGTGTCTGCTTGCAGACACCAGAGGATGATATTGAATGATTTCCTTGATCTCTTTCCACCGTATTGGCACAGGGTATCTCATTTGAATGCATAGTTCCCCAATTTGGCTAATTTACTAGGCAGCTTGTTGCAGGTATCACTTGTCTACATGTCCTGAGTACTGGAATTACAGGCATAAGCCACCTATGGGCTCTTGTTTTAAGATCCCAGTAGCTTAAATATTAAACCATTGTTTGGTTTCAACTCCCTTTAAAGACTTGATTCTGATAACTAGCTTTCCCCTTTTCATTTCATGAAAGAAAATCGTTTCTATGGAAATGTTTTAGAGAATTAAGGAGAGGAAAATTAATTTTCTTTCCTGTTAGAACTTGAGTTAGTTCAGTGTAACACTAGTCTCACATGTACAAGGATAGAGAGTCAGTGTCTAGCTCTGAAAAACCCCTCTCCCTTCTGTAATAAGGTTTGGTCTTTCTATCATGAGAAACCCTCAACAAACAGTTTGAGTATCATTGTCTCTATTTATGTTAATAATAGTATGACTATTGGGATGTTGTAAGTATTATTTAAATTTTTCAGTTATATATATACACATACATACATATCCATGAACCAAATCTGGCCACAGATTTAATTTAATCTTAGAAAATAAGTTGTAAGTAGTAGGATCGGGGAAATGGTTCAGTGGGTAGAGCACTTGATGTGGGAGTTGAAAGACTTTAATTTGGGTCCCCAGAACACATACATTCTGGGTGGGCACTGCAGACCATGTATAATCTAGCACTTGGGACACAGAATAAGGGAGTCTCTGAAAGAAGCTGGCTAGCTAGACTGGCAAAGCCATGAGCTCGGGCTAAAGTGAAAGATCTTGCTTGAATATATAAGGTAATCAATCCAGTGTCAGCTCTGCCTTCACATACACATAGGTGACCCCACCTCTTAGATGTAAGTGTACATATACACATAACCACACACAAATACATGCAAAGCTGTATTTTTCAAAATTTACATTAAAATTCCCATTTCTGTCTTTTAAAACATAATTGATTTATTTTTCATTTTATGTGCATTGGTATTTTTGCCTGCATGTTTGTCGGTGCTAGAGTGTCAGATCCCCTGGAACTGGATTTACAGACAGTTGTGAACTGCCATGTGGGTGCTGGGAATGGAACCTGGGTTCTCTGGAAGAAAAGCCAGTGCTATTAACCAATGAGCAATCTCTTTAGCCCCTGATAGAACTTTTTGTGATGATGGAAATGTCCACGTACCTAGTCAATATGATAGTCACATGTACACAAAATATAGTAGGCACACGCTATATAGTAATCACAAAATACACCAGTCAAAAAGTACTATCGTCAGGAGGGAAGGCCTAGACCCAAATGACTTTGACAGATTTTGATGATCCCTCCTGGAAGGCATCGCCCTCCCTGTGGAGTGGGAGCGGGTAATGGGACAAGAGGGGGGTTATGGGGCATGGGAGGGGGAGAGGTAACTGGGATCAATATGTAAAATAAGGAAAAATAATAAATATTAAAAAAAAAAGTACTATTGTCATAGCCAGGACTACTAGAGAAACCCCATCTCCAAACTCCCTCCCCCAAGTGCTAGTGAGACTAAAGTGAATCTCATTTGTATTTTTCATTAATTTAAATAATCACAGGTGGCTTAGTGACAACACATTTAAGGGGGGAAGGAGATAAGAGTAGAGCTGTATAGACTCAAGATTAAAGATGGGCCCTGGGGTGCAGCAGGTTCCTTGCTGTTTAATGTTTTGCTTGCTTTGTGACAGTCTTGAACTTGGGTGTAGACGACAGAATACATGTGATATGTAAGTGGAAGGGAGAATTTTCCGGGGGCAGTAAGAACTAGCTAGAAATGGATAGAGGTAGAAAAGCGGGCAGTGGAGATATAAATTAGAGCCAAGCACAGTGACACATGTGAAAATGCCGTAAGGAAAGATGGGTATGATGGTGCGCGCCTGTGTCACCAGCCGTGGAGAGAGGCAGGTCACAATCATCCACAGTTATATTAAGACCATGTGGAAATACTTAGGTGAATAGAAATGGGCTAATAGTTAAGACGGTGATAGCCAGTAAGAAGCCCTAGCCATCAGCCAAACAGTTTATAAATTAGTATACGTCTTTGCATGTTTATTTGGGGCTAGTCGGCTGAGGGACCAGGCAGAACAGAAACTCCATCTTCAATTCTAGGGGATCCAACACCTTGCTCAGCACCAGGTGTGCACATGATACACATACATACATGCAGGCAACACACACGCACACACACACCATACACACACATACCACACACACAAAATAAACACATCTGTAAAAAAGGAAAATGCCATGATGAAACCTATTCTGGATTTTAAAAATAATTGTAGTTTTACTTTTATCTTATTTTATTTTATTTATTTATTTTTTGGCAGGGTCTCACACTGTAGCCTAGGCTGACCTGGAACTCATTCACTAGCTCACTGTGGCTTTGAATTCTCAGCGACCCTCCTATCTCAGCCTTCCAAGTGTCAGGATAAATAGGTATAAGGCACCATGCCCAGTTCAGAACATGATGCAGGTGAAATAAATATATGGTTTTTTTTTTTTTGTGTTTTTTTTTTGTTTTTTTTTTTTTTTTTTTTTTGTATAAGGCTTCTTCCAGGTCTTCCCCCTGTGAAGTCTGGCCGTTGGTGATTTTGAACGAGTTCCATGTTGTTAGATGTGGTACACTGTACTTGGCTCACCTCAGTCTCCCTAGTGTATTATGTGTGTGGATGACACAGTGTACCCATTGAGGTCAGAGGACAACTTTCAACAGTCAGTTCTTTCCTTCTGTCGCATGGATCTTGGAGGTCAAACTCAGGTCCTCAGGCTTAGCCACCCTGGATTTTTCTTGTAATTAGTACCTTAAGGAAGATAATTTGGGATTATACAAGTCTGTTTCCTTTCAGAATTTCATCCACTAATATTTTACTTATTTTTTGAGACAAGGTCTCATTGTGTAGTGAAGCGTTAATCTAATTAATTTTTATCAATAAAGAATGGGGAGTCAAATATTGGGGTAAGAACCTGAAAGATTAGAGAATGGGGTAGCTGCTAGTTACTTCCTACCTCTTTGGTTCCTCCATCCAAAGGGGATGAGATCTTCTCTGCTCCACCTTACTACTTTGGGTGGTATTTGTCAGCTTAGAGGCATTACCATAGTCCTGATGGAATTGTCTTTGTGGGGCCCCATCCTCTTTTTGGAGACTTCAAAAGTTGCTGTTAGGCATGGTCATGCAGTGGCAGAAGACATAAACATTTTAAATGTTATATGTAGCAGATCTTGAAAAGGTTAAAGGACCATAATTTGTTACGTACATCCAAAGTACAAAAACTTAATTCCGAGTTACCTGATAGAGACTCAAACCCAAAATCATGTACAGGAAGCTAGATGAAGCCTTTTTCTATAATTAGTTAGTTCTCTATGACTATTAATATCCTGATAGAAAGTTTAAATATATATATTAATTTTATAAAATTTGAGATAATATTTCTATCTTAGGAAAAGTTTTAAAGAATCCAAATAAAACCAAAGGATTTATTTAGTCGCAATAGAATAGTCCTTAATTTTATTTTTTATTCTGTTTCATATCAGATGGCTCATCTGACACAAGACAGAGATTTGGATTTTACTTTAACAAGCATGCTTAGAGAAGGGGAAAGCCATCTTCAATTCCAAAGCTAGCTTAATTTTTAACTGAACAGGGACTATTAAAAGAACATTTGCATTATATGTCTGTAGAGATCAGCAGAAACAAACATTTGGGAAGATTCATGAAATTTTATCCAGTTAGAAATGTGATATACCAATAGGCCAATTTACTCTTTTTCTTGGGACATTTTCTCTGGATGATTCGTGTTTTTCTTCAGATGTCTCATTTGTCCAGTGGTCTCCAGATTCTTTGGTCAGGTGCCTTTATTCTCCTGAAAAGACAAAAATAATTCTAACTTTGGGGAGTTTCCCATTTGGCAAGTTATGTCTGATCAAATTAAAAGCATTTGTTAGTCTTTAAGTTATTTTAGATTGAATGGTCATATTTTTTGATGAACTATCACCTCTTCTAATCAAGAAGTTACTTTTCAAATATAGTGTCTATAATTTTTGCTTTATGGTTTCTCCTGAATTTTTTTTTTTAATCTTCTAAAGCTGTTCTATCATCCAGAGCAGTATGTTTTTTTACAGCAGGTATTAGGTCCTTTAATTGACAGGCAACAATTTAACCAAATTTGACATGGTGGCCTACGAGAGCCCCCAACCCCCCAAGGTGTTTCCCTGACGGCAAAGGGTTTCCTTTTCTGTCCCTTGTTGATCTACATTCATTGGTACACTGTTGGCCTTTGCTTCACTTTCTGCATACTCCAGAAGGCAGGGGCCTTCTATTTTTTTGTTTAGATTATTCCTAGAAAAAACATTGTTTTTAGGGGCACCGTGCCTACAGTCTCTTTTTAGATTACCTTGTTTGCCACAATTAAAACTCCTGACATTTTGATTTTTCTTCAAGCCTCTGGAAATCACCTCTCCTATCCAAGCATCATCATGATTATGAGATTCAATATTGACTATATCATGGGTCCATTTCTCTTTAGGTGCTGATCTTGCCTTTAAAGGCCTAATTATCCTTTTGCATTGTGAATTAGCATTTTCAAAAGCCAAAGATCCAATTATTATTTGTTTAGCTTCTGAGTTCGCTATCATACTATTTACTGCCAAAGTCAATCTTTGTGAAAAATCAATGAAGTTTTCTTTTGGGCTTTGTATAACTTATAGTAAATGACTCAGTTCTCTTTCTGACTTCTTCAACTGTGTCCTAAGCATTCAAAGCTGCTGTACAGCATAGAGCCAAGGTGTGATCATCATATATAGACTTTGTACATAAGCATAATTGCCCTCTCCAAGAAGTTGGTCTTGGGAGATCTCTATGCTTCTAAGCCCTACTTTGTTGTTCAGGGATCTTAGCCTCATCTTTCTGCCAGGTTCTCCATTGTGGTTGAGGACCAGGTTCAAATACTGCTGTAACCAAGTCTTTCTAATCTTGTGGGATAATTCTGTTACTAGTTGACCATGAATTTCACATCTGCCTCACAAAAGGTGAATGCATGCCATATGATATTATCACTTCCTTAAATCTTCTCAAATCTAACTTTTCCATAGAAATCCAGTCAGCTCTTCCATAACCTTGGGGATATCTGTCTGTTGGCAGTTATTCCTGTATGGTGACTGGATAAATTAAGGTTGTTTTTTTTTTTTTTATAACCACAGGCTGTTCCTCTCTAATTTTATAATGCAACGGTGAGGTTAGTTTACCTTTAAATTCCTGTCTTTGTCTGAATATCTGTATTATCTGTTTTTAGTAAGTTTTTCTAAGGCTTGTAATTTATCAGTCAAAATTACATTATTTTCTTTAGTAACCTTTTCTAAGGCCTGTATCTTGGCACTTATATCAAGCAACATTTTTGTTTTGTTTTGTTTTTTTGAGACAGGATTTCTCTGTATTGTTGTAGAACCTGTCCTGGAACTCACTCCATAGACCAGGCTGGCCTTAAACTCACAGAGATCTGCCTACCTCTGCCTCCCAAGTGCTGGGATTAAAGGCAGGTGCCACCAACGCCTAGCTCTCAAGCAACATTTTTAGGGATAAAACAAGAATTACCAATTGATAATGTTAATTATATCCTCATTTAATTGTTCCATTTTTAAACCATCCATTTCAGAATCATACAGAGATCTAACTCTCTCCATTGTAAAAGTGTTTCCCATTTTTTAATGTGGGAAAAATTCTCTCTCTCTCTCTTTTTTTAATTCCCCCCTTTAAGAATTCCCAGGTGTTGCTGATGGTGGTGGTGCACGCCTTTAATCCCAACACTCTGGAGGCAGAGGCAGGCAGATCTCTGTGAGTTTGACACCAGCCTGGTCTACAAAGTGAGTTCCAGGGCAGCAGGGCAGGCTTCAAAGCCACAGAGAAACCCTGTCTTGGAAAGGAAAAAAAAAAAAAAAAGAATTCCCAGGTGTCTCACCAGATTTGGAGATCTGGTGGTGATGACAGTGAAGTATGAGGCTGGCTGTTGCTGCATAGCACATCTGGGCAGAAATACAGGTGCACAGCAGCTGCAGCTGCTCACGTTTAGCTGTGAGCTGAGTGTGTGTGGTGGTTGCAACAATAGAAATTTGAGTGGGTGTGAAGGCGGCTGCCTAGTGTTGCAGCAGCCTGAGGAGCAGGTCCAGGAGAAGCCTGTCATCAGCAGGGAGAGGGAGCTGGCTGGCTGAAAAATGCACGTGGGCCATGCACAAGAAGCACATGTGGTGGGAACTGTCTGAAGGCAGAGCTGGCTGGTCATGAAGAACTCACTCCACCAGCGGTGTTTGAAGTTTAGGGCTTGTGGAGATTTCTTAAAGAGACTGTAATAGGAAATCCCAGACTAGCTCAGAGGGCTTGGAGAAAGAAAGGGAAAGCCAGCTGGTGGCTCCTGTGAGTACAGCCCCAGTGGTCACCAGTGGTTGCAAAGCCAGGGGCAAGTGGCTGTCTTGTGAATTTGTGGATGCCAGGTGAAGCATTAATCTAAAGTAATCTTTACCAATAAAGAATTAGAAGTCAAATATTGGGGTAAGAACCTGAAAGATCAGAGAACAGGAGGCAGCCACTGGTTACTTCCTATAGCCCCTCCGTCCAAAGGGACTGAGATCTTCTCTCTGCCCAGCTTTATGACTTCTGTCTCCCCTCTCCACAGTTCTCCAGACCTCCAAATATCACATAACAAAGTCGCTGGGGCTAGTCTTGACTTCCCTCTTATCCCAGTCTCAGTAACACTGAGAAATCACAGGTGTGAGCCACTATGTGTACCTTATGGCCTGACATGTCCTTTGTTTGTTTTTTGAGACAAGAGTTTTTCTGCATTGCTTTGGAGCCTGTCCTGGAACTAGCTCTGTAGACCAGGCTGGCCTTGACCTCACAGAGATCTGCTTGTCTCTGCCTCCCAAGTATTGGGATCAAAGGCGTGCGCCACCAATGCCCGGCTGCTGATATTTGCTCTTAACATACTTATTGAAATTTTAGATAGAGCTCCTGAGATGGCTCACTAGATAAAGGTATCTGCCCATGAGCTGAAGTCTGAGTATGCTCTCTAATGAAAAACCAGAACCAGTTCCTATAAACTGCCTCCTGACTTCTACATGCATACTTTAGTGTAGCACAATAAGTAAAGATTCAGAGACTTGTGAAGATCAAAAAAGCAAAGCAGCCGGCCACAAGCTCTTACCTCTATCTCAGGCTGAAAAGCAATCCTTTCTCCTCTGGAAGAACAAACAGGCTCTTAACCTCTGAGCCATCTCTCCAGCCCTCTTTTTATTTTTTAAATTTACATTTAAAAATCTATTCTTTGTGGTGATGGCACACATATGCCACAGTTCATGTGAGGTTGTCAGTGGACAGCTTGTAGGTCTTCATTCTCTCTTTTACCATATGGATCTCAGGGATTAAACTCAAATTACCACGTATGGCACAGGTGCTCTTACCCACCAAGCCATCTTGCTGGCCATTATATGTCCTTATAATATGTCTCATAAAATTTTTATGCTTAAAGTCCTACATATGTATAAATAATACATAATATCGTTGGGTATAATTTCAAGTAGCATACATGTTTTTATTTTGTATTGATTATTTGACAAATTCATGCTATAACCTCAAATGTTGAGACATATATTGGCACAGTTTACATGTCATTGCTGGCGTGCCATTGTCCCCTGTTCCACAGTTGATGCTTTCTCCCTGGTGCAGTGAGTATCTTCTCGTGGGCGTTTGTGCTTGTCTTCAGGGTGTAAACCTGGAATAGTGTTAGGAGGGTTCAGGCAGAGGGTCCACCCTTAATACCTTTGTCAAAACAGTTGTTTTTTTTTTTTTTTTTTTTTTTGTTTTGTTTTGTTTTTTGTATAAGAAAAGAATCAGGCCTGGTTGGTGGCGGAGACAGCACACACCATTAATCCCAGCACTTTAGAGGCAGAAACAGGCAAATCTCTATGAGTTAGAGACCAGCTTCATTTACAAAGTGAGTTCTAGGACAGTCAGGGCTGCACAGAGAAATCCTGTCTCAAAAGCACAAAAAAAAACAGAAAGAAAGGAAGGAGGGAAATAGCAAAATTGTAAACCTATGTGTCATGGCTTGATTTTATAGGAGGGATCTGTATGTATAAGCTGAGAGATGTTTTTTGTTCTTGGTGTTTCCTAAATGTTCTATTCTGACCTCTCTCCTAGCGGCAGTACATCCCTGTGAAAGTGAAGAGCAAAGCCTTCTGGATCTTCTCTTGGGAGTATGCCATGATGTATGTAGGAAGCCTAGTGGTAATAGTTTGCCTCTCCTTCTTCCTTCTCAGCTCCTGGGATTTCATCCCTGCAGTCTATGGTTTCATGTAAGTACAGACTTCACAAGAGATTCCTGGAAGCTAATTTGGTAATTTGGTTTTTTGTTTGTTTGTTTGTTTGTTTTGTTTTGTTTTTCAAGACAGGGTTTCTCTGAGGCTTTGGAGCCTGTCCTAGAACTAGCTCTGTAGACCAGGCTGGCCTAGAACCCCCAAACTCACAAGAGATTCTCTTGCCTTTGCCTCCCGAGTGCTGGGACTAAAGGTGTGAGCCACCAATGCTTGGTTTTTGCAGCTCCCTATAGAGCAAGAGGGAGAAGACTATACAGGAAGTCTGTGTAGCAGGGGTCTTCAGGTTTTAAGATGCCTCGGCTTCTGACATCTTTAGTGCTGGCCCATTCCCTAGGGGCACTGATGCAGTAGGTGTGAGATAGAGATCAAGAATTTCATTTCTCAAGTACTCCTGGCACTAGGGTAGTACAGGGAACAAGTTTGAGACCTCTGCTGTTTACACCTTTGGTTAGTTATTAGAGAGTACTTCTGAGGCTTGTAAGATGGCCAAGTGAGTAAAGGTTGAGTTTGATCCGCAGCATTCACGTGGTGGAAGGAGAGAATGGACTCCCACATACCTTCGTTAAGGAACTGTGTCTCCTCTTATTCCCTTTTTCTCATTCATTGCTGTTTTTAAATTATGAATCGGAGACAGCTGTGGTGGCATATGCCTTCAATTCCAGCATTTGGGAAAGCACAGGCAGGCATCTCAGTGAGTTAAAGTACAGTCTGGTCTACATAGTGAGTTTCAGGCCAGCCAAGGCTACATAGTGAGACCCTGCCTCAAAAAGACAAAAAATAAACAAAAAAACCTAATAAAATAGTAAAATTATAAACAAATCAATTTCAACATTGATTTTTTTCAAATAAAACATATAGCAGGGGCAGCAGATAGTACTCTTGACACACACACACACACACACACACACACACACACACACACACACACACAGAGCTAAGGATGTAGCCCAGTGGTAGAGTGCCTTTTTCAAATTGTGGAAGTCCTGAGTTCCATCCCCAGCGCTGAAAACAAAAACAAAACCACAAATGTGTGTGTGTGTGTGTGTGTCTACACATATGTAACTTGGACTTTTGAAAGAGCCAGTATTGCAGCCAATTCTTACATGATTTATCTAGACAGAGGTCTCCTAGATAAACTCAAAATTCTCAGATGAGTTCTGTAGCCCTAGGGATTTTTGCACAACCTGCTGATGGCTCCTGAAGCCCTTGGAAAACTCATTTGTGGGCTCAGGCTTGCAGTCTTCTGGCTCCTGCTGTGGGGATGTGGAGCAAGAGCTGGGAGGAGCAGGCTCTCAGAGCTTGTTCCTCTGGGCAAGTCTTTGGAATGCCCAAAATAGATTTTGTTTATTTAAATCTCCTTCCTCTTGCAATACTGAGTTGCTCCTGATTGTAAACTGGCCTGATGTAGAAAAGTGGGGCTGATCTCTTGATTTCTTTTGTTGTTTTTGTTGTTTTTTTTTTTTTTTTTTTTCCCCAAGACAGGTTTTCTCTGTGTAGCCTTGGCTGTCCTGGAGCTCCCTTTTTCATTTCAGATGCTTTTAGCTTAGCTGGTTTTTTGGATGTTTTGCTTGTTTTTGGGTTTGGTTTTGTTCCCTCATTTCACTTGTTATAGCCTTGAGCTCAATATCCAACCAAGAATGCTTTTAAACTTCTGATCCTCCAGCTTTTACATTTGGGCTTAATTCAGTCCTGGGGGTGGAACCCAGGGCCTGTGTACACTAGGCAAGCACTCCACTAACTCAGCTGTATCCCCAGCCCTGAGCTAGTGTGCATTACAGTTGTTATTCTCTGCATCTTCAGCCCTATATTTTGTAAATTATCTGTGTGGCGGTATCTGGAGAGCTCTTTATATTATTACTATGACCTTTAGATGGATGATGCCATTCTTGGTCACCTAGTAGTGACCTCATGTCTTGGGAAAAGCAGGGCAAAGCCAACCGTTTGTAACTCTTCCCTATTCTCCCTGTGTTTTCTCAATTCCAGACTTTCTGTTCCAGATCTCACTCCAAACATCGGTCTTTTCTGGTACTTCTTTGCAGAGATGTTTGAGCACTTCAGCCTCTTTTTTGTCTGCGTGTTTCAGATCAACGTCTTCTTCTACACAGTCCCCTTAGCCATCAAATTAAAGTAAGTGTGAGGACCTGCTGCTTATTTTTTCCACCCTCCCTCATGTGGCCTGAGCTATCCTTGGACTGGTACCACCTGCCATGAGACTTTTGGCTTTTTTGATCATGTGCCAGTAGCCAGGGTCAGCAATTGAAAGTCACACACAATTGCAAACGGTTGCAGGGAGGATGCCTGGGTTCTCTTGATCTCACCTGGAGGTGCCTTGGGCTACATTACTATTTAGTCTACTCACCATTTCTGGCAAGAACAAAGGTTACACTGAGGATGTCTTTGGGAAAAGTGGGTCTGGTTGGATGTTCTTGATCAACAGCCCAATTATGACTTAACCCAAGGGATTCCAATTGGGTTATTTTGGAGACTGGGCATGGTCAGCCCTGTTTAATCTTTTGATCAGTTTTCCTCAAATGAGGCTTTCTGTGTAGTTCACTTCTACAATGTGAGAGCTGTCATTGTTGAGCCTGCTTCTTCCCAGGTACCTTTCTAGCTCAACAACTTGGAGGCCAGCATTATCTCACTTCCATCATTCAGTTTTATAGTTGAGAAATTGTTGCTCAGAGAGATGGGACAATTCTTCTAGAGCTACCCAGCTAGCAAGCAGTAGAGCTGGAATTCAGGCACATGTTTGTCTGAGTTCAGAATCTGCTCATCTCCTTGGGCCATGCCAAGTCCCGAGGAGAGCATTGCAGTGATCCCAGAAGTGGCTGCATTACCCTGGCTTTGGAGCACCTGACAAAGACCTCATAAGCAGGCATCTAGCTCTATGCAGAGTCTGCCTTGTGCTTGTGTTGAGGTGTTATCGAGAGAGGTCTATAACTGGCTTTTTCCTGTTCACTTCCCTTTGGTGTGCTCTCAGAGGGCTACTGTAGGATGAGCCATGTCCCTCATGTCCCCCCTCCTGTCCTTACTGGTGCTGTAAGACATATGAAGCACCAAGGAAAGGAACATGGTGGTATTAGCAGCTCTGTAGACATACGGCTCCATCACTAACTTCCCTTCTCTGAATTTCAATTTCCTTACCTAGGAAGGACAGGGGGCAGGAATCTGTGCTTGGAAGGCTGGCTGTGGTGCTGTGAGGATTATCTGAGATGATGTAGGAGAAACTGCACAGAATTCAGTATAGGAGAAAAGGAGATGGGAGCCATGGCAGTTTATTAATTTAAAATCAGTTCAGCTGTTAGTAGTTTAAACTCCAAAAAATTCCATTCTGAGACAGAAAGCAGAGGCAAGAGGATCAGGAGTCCAGGGTTAGTCTCAACTATATAGTGAATTAGATGCCAGCCTGGGTTACATTAGAGCCTGTCTTAAAAACGCAAAAGAGAGAATTCTTGGCCTCTGAAGAGCTCACAGTGCTGCATGTAACTTTCAGTTCTTGTTCTAGACACTAAGGGTCCACATTGCTCTGACCAAATTGTCAGTGAGCAAGCCATCAGCCAGTAGGCACTTCCTGTCTTGGACCTGTTGACAAGAGCCTTTTCTGAGAAAGGCTGCTTGATTTCTCTGACAAGCACTCATGTAAGGCTACTAATAAGGAGTGCTGACTTAATTTGCTTTCTTACTTTGGTTCCAGGGGGCCAGGCCCAAAGCTAGTGGATAGGAAGTGGCTATTGATGGGCAGTGTTCCTGTAAACTGGATCACTGGTGTTCGTTCTTCATTGCCACCTCTGGGAATGTCTTATCTCTGCAGTTTGCTAATGTGCTACTGGGGCCTGGCCATCCATGCCTTGTGAGTAGTAAGCAGTCTTGCCTGAAGTACCCTAGGGAGTACTTTTGATTTGTACAGTAGGTCAGGAATCTCTAAGGATGGGCCTGGTCCCTGGCTAATCTCTCTGCATGTTTGTCTTTCCTGCCCTACTCCAGGGAGCACCCCATCTTCTTCATGTTCATCCAGATTGCCATCATCTCTATCTTCAAGTCCTATCCAACGGTGGGAGATGTGGCCCTCTACATGGCTTTCTTCCCTGTGTGGAATCATCTCTACAGATGTGAGTAGCCTGACTCTCTTCACAGGACAGATTCCAGTCCATCCAACTCTTGGGCAAAGCATCTGGGAGATGGGCGTTAATGAGCATTTACTGAGCACCTGCTGTGCTGGCAGCACTGAGAAAGAGGAGGCAACCTGCATGCATGTGCCCGGGTACCCTTGGTGCTGTGAGCATTAAGGGACATACAGATAACCACCACTTATAGACTGTGCTCCTGACCATTGTCAGTCACTAGCTCATTTGGTCTTTGCATCAGTCCTTGAGAAAACTAAGGAACATTAAGGCAGAGCCACTTACTGAAGGTCCTATGACTGCTATGAAAGACTAGGATTGAAGCCTAGCTCTGAGAGCCTTATCCAGTGCTGTCCAGCCTTGATTTCTGTAATGATGACCATGTCCAATGGCTACTAATATAGAGACTAAATTTTTTTCTTGTTTTCTCCCTTACTCCCAGCTTTTGAAATAGGGTCTCATATAGCCCAAATTGGCCTTGAGTTCACTATGTAGCTGAAGATGACCTTGAACTCCTGTTCCTCCTGCCTGTACCTCTCAAGTCTGGGGTTATAGTGGTGTACTTGTTATGCACAGATTTTGTTCTTTGTTGCCATCTGTTTGTTTGCCACAAAGCCTAGACTGTAGTCCTGAATAGCCTGAAGCTCAGTATGTAACCCAGGCTGCCCTCAAATTAGAAGCAGTCATCCTGTCTTAGCTTCCTGAATACTACTGAGGTTACAGAATGAGTCATGGTGCCAGCAGACACCAACATTTTTATTTAAATTCAAATGTAGGATGCTACAAAAAGGCTTCCTATTGGGCATTGGCCAAGTTTCCTATTGGACATGTGGCCCCTGTAGCCTTGGGTTTTGAACACCAAACTTCCTACAAAGACCCCTCAATTCTACCCATCTCTTAGAATATAACTTAGAAATGTTCTTTTCTCCTTAGGCCCCCAATCTTTCCCTCATTTGGGCCCCTACTCCCCCAACTACCCTTGCTATTTCTGTTCAGTGTCTGGAGGCTCCCTTCCAGGGATATCCTTTGCCTCAGTTTTTCCAGCACCCACCATGGATTCTGACACCAGACTATCCCTGAATGCCTTTTGAAGGCTCCTTTGAAGGAAGCAGAGCCCAGTTATCTTCCTGATTCTCTGTCTTCTAGTGGGAGGAGAGCCGTGTCAGAGATGAACTCCAAGGGCAAGCTTCAGAGGAAGTTAGTTTTGTTGTTTTGGGGTTGTCTGGGTGTCAACCAGGAAGTGAAACTGAGCAGCTGCAAGTAGGAAACCTACCTGTAAGTGTAGGCCTCAGAGGAAAGGTAAACAGCTAAGTGGGCAGGACAAGCCCAGGCCAGGTGGAGTGGTGACCAGTCTGAGCTGACTGAGAGGAGGTAGCATCATCTTCTGCTTGTGACATCCTCCTTTCCCAGACAAGAATCACCTGGTGATGAATCATGAGGCAATCAGAATGCATGGACATGCCTTGGTCTGTGGGAGGGTAGGGCTTCAGGCACTGGTCTTTTCCTCTCTGAAGCACTAGTTTTACTTAGTTGTCTGTGCTGCACAGGATATTGCCCCTTCTCAGGGGCATTATGAAGTAGTCTCACATTGTTGATTTGGTTTGTAGACTGACTGGAGCTCGAGCCTGCCTCCGGACTTCCCAGGCAGGTGCTTTAGCCTTTCTGAGCTTCTGACTTTTCCTTTCCCATCCATCAGATGAAGAGAGTTTCCTGGTGTGGTTCCTTAACCCTAACACTTAAAAGGATGAGGCAGGAGGATAGCAAGTTTGAGTTTAGCCAGAGCTACATAGGGAATTCGAAGCCACATAGGGAGACTTCTCTCTCAAAAAAAAGTATCTTTCATAGATATTTTTTTAAGTTTGAGAAAGAAAATATATGAATAGTACTGCACTTATCATCAGTAATAATTAACCAGAGTCATCACGTGCATATTTCCACCATCAAAGCTTCAGACTTAACATCCAGAGACATTGAAGTAAATATGTTTTTTTTGAAGCTTGAAATAAATTGTTTTATGCCCACAGGGATGATGAGACAGAGAAGGAGTTTCCAGAAACCTGGATGATCTAATAGACTCTATTAGTAGATACTATATAAGTAGAGGCTGTTACTGGCTGATTAGGCAAGGACACAGCTTATCTGAAGTTCTGCAGAGAGTAGTACTTCCATATTTTGCACTGTATAGGGACTACTCATTGGAGCACCTGTTTGGGACTTGTTATCTATGAGTTATTATACTCTTAAATGTCTTTAGCCCTAGGCCTTGGGACCTCTGATTCTGTCTACTCAGATTTTGGGAAGTCTTTTGTCTTAGCTGAATGTAGTTAATGTTATAGGATGTTCCAGTGTTCTCTCTCTGCTCCCACCTCACCTATTTTCTTGTATTGGCCGGAGGGGAAGAAAAGAATAGGCCTTGCCCTGGGTATAATGCTCAATCACATTGGGTGGTGGTGGCGCACACCTTTAATCCCAGGACTTGGGAGGCAGGGGCAGGTGGACCTCTGAGTTCAAGTCCAGCCTGGTCTACAGATCAAGTTCAGGAGAGCCAGGGCTACACAGAGAAACCTTGTCTTGATAAAAACAACAACAGCACCAAATAAATAAATAGTCGGGTACTGGCTTCTGTAGCCTTGGGTCAGGATGAGTCAGGCAGATGCATACTTGTGGTGTTAGAGAACAGCCTGCTGGCCAAGCTGGTGCCAGCTGCAGTGGTCCACAGGGCTGGAGTTGAACATGGCCTGTATTTCTTTTTGTTTTTTAAATTAACTATTGTGTAAAGGTAGAAGAATGTTGATTAAAATACAAATAAATTATAATCATTATAGGCTGTAAATTCTCATGTATCTAGCATGTAATTTAAGAAAAGAAACATTTGTTTAACCTTTGAAACCCCTTAATTCCCTCTATGACCCTCCTGATGAGATCAGATGCTTTAAGTGTCATTTTATTTCTGAATGCCTGATACTCAAGGGGGAAAGGGCCTTGCAGAAGTTTCTGTTCTTCAGTGTGGTCCCACAGATTGGATAAGCCAGCCATCCAGTGAATGTCTGGGGAACTTGACTCCATCTGACCTAGCAGGTCTGATGAAAGGTGTAGGCCTTGGTCATCTCTGACACCTCTTGGTGTCTGGAACAAGCTGTCCTGTGCCTCAGGTCCCCAGTTCCATGTGCTCTGGCATAGAGCTTTAATCTCCCAGCCTTCCAGCCAGCAAGAGTGAGTAGCAGTTCCCTGTTCCTGCAAAGGTCACCGCTGGCCTGAGTCCAGCTGGATGCTAGTGAAGGTTTTCCAAGCACATTGAAAAGTCTCTTTGTGGCCTAGAGGACGCATTTGTAGCTTTTTTCATTTTTGTGCTCAGTCTCTTTCCTGTCACCCTTCAGAGCTCTGTCTCTGACTGAGTCACAGAACCAGAAACCACTTGGGCTACCAGGCCCCTCAAAGTTTTATTCTAGTAATAATATGTGTTCTTTTCAGCCAAGGTATTTATAGAGGATGAGAAGGAAGCACTGAGAACTGAAATACAGTGGAGGAGTAAGCAGCTCCGCTCCCTTTCTTCAGTTTGGAATGCTGCTTGATGAGAGCAGTATGATAATACACAGCGTAAACATAGCTTACCCTGGGCTCCCTACCCCGACACAGTGGAGGGGGCATAGGCTCCCTGGAGGGTCTCAGGAGACCCGAGGATGATGACCATCCAGGATGATGGAAATATCGAATCAGAAAAGGCAAGCTTTCAGGCCTCTAGGCTAGTGTCCAAATTATGGAGTTTCCTAGACACTAACATTTGAAAAATGGTTCTTATAGCTTTGTATTTTGGTGCTCGATGAAACAGTCAACTACCAGTATTTGTCCCCATTTTAAATGACTTGTGTTGTTTGAGACTAGGTTTCTCTGTGTAGCTCTGGCTGTCCTGGAACTCACTGTGTAGACCAGGCTGGCCTCAAACTCTCAAGAGTTCCACCTGCCTCTGCCTCCTGAGTGCTGGGGCTAAAGGGGTGCACAGCCACACCCAGCTAGAATGACTTTAAACAACGATAGTAACAATAGAAGGGTTCTTATCCTTCTTTATAAAGAATGAATTATAGCTGGGCATGATAGTGTATATTTGAAAGGTGGAGGCAGAAGGATCAGGAATTTAAGGCCATCCTATTCTAGGCTACATATCAAGTTGAAGGCCAGCTTGGGCTATATGAGTCCCTGCTTCAAAAAACAAAACCAAACAAATTAGTGAACTATATGTTGCCAACACTTAGCTTTAAAAAGTGGTGGCACCTTTAATCCCAGCACTTGGGAGCCGAAGCATGTGAATCTCTGTGAGTTTGAGGTCAGGCTGGTCTACAAGACCTAGTTCCTGGGCAGCTAGGGTTACACAGAGAAAACCTGTCTCTAAAAAACCAAAAATCAAACAAACAAAAATAGCCTCAATGGGACTGGAGAGATGACTCAGAGGTTAAGAGCACTGCCTGTTCTTCGAAAGGTCCTGAGTTCAATTCCCAGCAATCACATGGTGTCTCACAACCATCTGTAATGAGATCTGGTACCCTCTTCTGGTATGCAGGGATACATGCAGGCAGAACATTATATATATATATAATAATTCTTTAAAAAATTGTAAACATAACCTCAAACTGCTTTGTCCTATTAGTCCACACATTAGTGCTGATTCTATGGCAGACTGTCAGAGTACATATTCAGTTACCCAGGAAACTTACAAAACCTTTGCCTGGGCTTTACCCTAGACACACTAATTTCATCCTGGTGGGGCTCTCCTGTTATTTGCAGCTAGAACAGAGGATTGCCTGTTATCCAGTCCCCTTCCAGTGTATGAGTCCAGCATAGTGTTTCTATCCAGTGATTGTAGAACTGAGAGTGGCCTGGGATTGTCTTCATTTTGTAAATCTCCGATTTTCTGGGCATGGTGGTGCATACCATTAGTCTCAGAACTTGGAAGGCAGAGGTAGGCTGATCTCTGATTCAATGCAGCCAAGGTAAAACTTGAGGGGCCTGATAGCCCAAGTAGTTCTGTGATCCCAGTCAGAGACAGGCTATCCAGGGCTACAAAGTGAGACCTTATCCTAAAAGAAAAAACAAACAAACAAACAAAAAAACTAGTTTCCCGTGAGTCTGCATCAGAGAAAAAGTAGGAACAACACTTCGCTAAGGGCCTGCTGGGAACCAGGCCCAATGCAGATGATTATTTTTTTTTATGTTGTTTGAAATACTTAATTTAAAACATTTATTTATATTTAAAATATAGTAAAGTATAAAGAGGAATAACATGATATCTTCTACTGTCAGATGATGTCTATCAGAAGAAAACCAAGTAAGCACCCTGAGGTCAGCAGAGTAATTTCCCTTTCTTATAACTCCCAACATGTCCATATCATAATTTCAGAACCTGTGAATTTGTTCCATTTTATAGCAAAAGAGACTTTACATTAGTGATTGTAAGGTGAGGTTTTCCTGAGTTATCTAGGGAGTTATAAGGATATCTCAAAGAAGAAAGGTGCAGGCTAGAGAGTATGAAAACTATGTCTCCTATTCAACTGTCTGTGAACCTAAAGCTGCTCTAACAAAGCCTACTAAACAGACAGCAGATAACCTAGGCATGGAAGAGGGAGGCCAGAGAGGCAAGAATGGTAACCTCTGAGATGGATTGGGTCTTCCAGTGCCGGAAGCTGTAAATGTGTTATGAGCTAAAGATCCCAGCCCCCAACAAGCTGGAAAAGGCAAGCAAGTAGATTCCTCCTCAAGAGAATCCAGAAGGAACACAGTTCTGCCCAGGCCTTGAGTGTGGCCAGAAGACCTACTTCATACTTCTGACCCAAGAAATGTGTAGTGGTAAATTGTATTTTTTAAAATGCTCATATGGGAATTGGCTATAGCAGAAGCAGAAAACTCATACAGTAATAAATACAATGTTCAGTTTTTTGTGTGTGTGTGTGTGTGTGTGTGTGTGTGTGTGTGTGTGTGTATGTGTATACATACATACATACATACATACATACGCATCCCTTTGCTGTTGGTGATTTGTGATTTGAGACAGTTTTTTACTTATGTAGCCATTCTCTCTCCTCAGTCTCCCTCAGGTGCTCTGAGACACATATTTGTCACCAAATCTGACTTTTACATGTCTCATTTAATCCACATAACAGGCATTTTAGCCCCATTTTAGAGATGATGTAGCTAAGACTTACAGAAACTAATGACAGATGAATTTTGTTGTGGTGGTTTTGTTTTTTGTTTTGTTTTGTTTTGTTTTGAGATAGGGGCTCGTGTACCAAGCTGGCCTGGATTTGTAACCAAAGCTGTCCTCAAACAACTCCTCTTTCCTCACTCCCCAATTTCCTGTGTACTGGAATTATAGGCATGGGCCATAACACTTTGCTTGCCAGAAAGAAGGGCGTCGAGAAGGGATTTGTGGGCTGGAGAATTGACTCAGTGCTTAAGAGCACTTGTTCAGTTTACAGCACACACATGGTGGATTACAACTGTCTGTAACCCCAGTTCCAGGGAATCAAACTGTCCGTTGACCTCCATGGGAACCAGGCACACACGGTACACAGACCTGTGTGCAAACAAGATGCTCATATACATAAAAATAAATTAGTTTTAAAATGTGGTCTGTTATGGCATTTACCCAACCATTGGGAGATAGAAGCAGGAGTGTCAGGGCTCAAGGTCACCCTTAGATGGTTCGAGGCCAGCCTGTGCTACATGAGCTCTTCGTCTGGGAGCATGGGGAGGGAGAGAGATGTGTAAATTGTCTGTGTTAGAGTGAGGAGGGTCACTTAAAGAGCAATACAAGCACATGACACAATGCATTTTTACCCTGTGTGGGCTATAGCACCCTGCTGTGGAACCCCAGTCATGCTGGTTCATGCCCCATTCTCGTCCATGAGACATCATGGCCCTGTAAGCGATGAGGTTGGAGAGTAGGGTACCAGTGTCTTCATGAAATGGCCTCACTGTTATGCCTGCAAGCATTCATGGGATTGCTGATTGTGGCTAGTTTTTAGGCAGACAAGCTTGCAGCAGGAGGAAAGTCTCTAAATGTAGATTCCTAGCAGTTATGGGCGTGGGGAGCCATTCACCAGGGTCTGAAGTCTGCCTTTGAGCCATGTGAGCTGCTCCCTGTGCTGTGTAGCTATCATAGCAAAAAGAGGGGTCAGAGAAAGAATGTTGGGCTAACTGGCTGTCTGTTTTTCAGTCCTGCGGAACATCTTTGTCCTCACCTGCATCATCATCGTCTGCTCGCTTCTCTTCCCTGTCCTGTGGCATCTGTGGATTTATGCAGGAAGTGCCAACTCTAACTTCTTTTATGCCATCACACTGACCTTCAATGTTGGCCAGGTAAGAGTTGTGGGTAGCACAGGATCCGGGGTTCATTTTGAGCCTCAGGCTGTCAGCGGAAACCCTGGTTCCCATCCTGTAGTTTTGAATATGCAGCAGGTAGAGCTCCTCTGTCATTGAACTCACTTGGTAGAAGGGATAGGGGAGTGAATAGTGTAAACCTGAATCTTTTGTACAAGTATTGAGTGCCATGCTGAGTGTTGCTTCATTGAATCCTTACTAGAGAAAGTGCTATCCGTAGTTTACAAATAGTTTACTGAGGCTCATCACTCATGGTCAGTAGAGTGAAGAAACAAATTCAGGTCAGGTCCAACTTCAGAAGCACCCCACTTTTAAAATTGCGCCTTGTTGGCACTATCAGTAGGTACATCAAGTGAAGTGTGGTGAGTAGGTCAAGGATAAGACAGTGGATTTGGAGGGCAGTAGAAGCAAAGGCAGGGAGATGGATTGGTTGTTGGGTGAACAATAAAACAGCTGTAGCTGTGTCCTTTATAGCTCAGTCTGGCTTCCAAGTTACTATGTAGCCAACAGTGACCTTGATCTTCTGATCCTCCTGACCCACCTCCTGAGTTTCTACCATCCCTGACTTTTGCAGGGCTGGGGATAGCTAGAACCCAGGACTTCCTGGATGCTCAGGAAACATTCTAACAATTGAGCTCCATCCTTAGCCCTTTGTTTTGCTTTGCTTTTTAAAATAAGTTTGTATAATTTCTTACTGTGCATTGGTGTTTTTGCCTGCATATATGTTTGTGTGAGGGTGTTGGATACCCTAGAACTGGAGCCATCATGTAGGTGCTGGGAACTGAACCAGGTCCAGGAAGAGCAGCCAGTGCTCTTAGCCACTGAGCCATCTCTCCAGCCCCAAGCCCCTATTGTTTTAAAGGATTTCTAAGGCTCATTCCTAAAGATCTTGGTTCAACATGTAAAACAAAGTTGTAGGTTTATACTTTTAGCTAACTCTCTTAGAGGTCTGGAAAGCCCTTTGTGGAATCATCCATCCTTCCTATCCTTCAAAGCTAGTTGCAGGATAGCCATACAGATATATATAGAGACATTCTATCTCAAAAAAAAAAAAAAAAAAAAACAACAACAAAAACACTTGACAGAAGCAGGCAGATCTCTGAGGCCAGCATGGTCTACAGAGTAAGTTCTAGGACAGCCAGGGCTATACAGAGAAACCCTGTCTCAAACAAACAAAACCAAACAACCAACCAGGGTATAGGAAAGATGGCTCAGCTCAGCTGTTAAGAGCACTGGTTACTCTTTCAAAAGACTAGGGTTTAATTGCCAGTACCCAGAACTGTCTCTAACTCCAGTTCTAGGGGATCTGAATGCCCTTGTCTGGCTTATGTAGACACCATACATGTAGGCAAATCACCCATATGCCCAAATGCATAAAATAATAATAATTTTAAAAAAAATCAAGAATGGCTTGAGATATGGCTCAGAAGTTAAGAGCATAGGCTGCTCTTCCAGAAGTCCTCAGTTCAATTCCCAGCAACCACATGGTGGCCCACAACCATCTGTAATGAGATCTGGTGCTTTCTTCTGGCCTGCAGGCATACATGCAGACAGAACACTGTATACATAATAAATAAATCTTAAAAAAACAAACAAAAACAAAACAATTAAACAGGCTTCAAACTTGCTATGTACTTGAAGATGACCTTGAACTACTCATCCTTCTTGATCTACTTCCTGAATGTTGGAATTATAGGCATGTGCCTATTTTTATGTCATGCTGAGAACTGAACCCAGGTTTCTTGCATGCTAAACAAGCACTCTGCCAAATGGGCTTCATCCTCAGCCTTTTCAGATAAATGTTTGTATGACCCCCATTGTGTTCCTTGGGTGGGAGGCACTGTGATTTATTTGACCTGGTAACCCTTTGTTGGGATTTGAGGATGCTTCTGGTTAGTTTGGTACTTGTAATGGGAGAGTCCCATTCCCCCCCCCATACACACAATTCATATGTTTATAGCAGTGCTTTTAGAGTAGATTTTAAGTGGTCAGATATGCAGAATGAGAAGGTATGTGGATGTTCTATTTTTAGAAGATATTACCAAGTTGCTATTCACATTGTGCCTGCCAGCAGAGGTCCAGATAACCCTTTAAGCTGGTGGACTATTAGGCAACCTACATACCTGTCATTGGCTCCCTTGGATTAAATGTTTTTGGAAGTTATTGGCCTTGAGTTTTGCTGCTGCTGCTACCAACCCATTACCACTGCCAGCTCAGTAAGAGAATGTATCAGGCAGGAGCATTTGTTTACTAGGTTGTCACTCTAATCATATCATTTATTGTTCTGAGCTGAATATGGTGGCATATAATTGTATTCTAATATTTTAGTGGCTGAGGTATGAGAATTGCCTTGAGTTCAAGCCTAGCCTACTCTGTATAGGAAGATTTTGTCTAAAAGAATAAAAAATAAATAAAACAAAAAGGATTATTAACCTGGATTGTTGACTAAAGAAAAGAGCCCCTCACCAGGAAGAGTATGCTGCCCACATCCTTGGGCCTTGGATCCACTAAGTGCAGATATAGGACATGTAGAGTTTGGCACTACCTTGGGCCTCTCATGAAGTTCTCCTGTTTTGTATTACTATTACTGTTATTATTATTATTATTATTACTGTTACTATTTTGGGTTTTTGAGACAGGGTTTCTGTGTTTAGCCCTTGCTGTCCTGGAACTCACTCTGTAGACCAGCTGGCCTCAAAACCAGAGATCCACCTGCCTCTGCCTCGTGAGTGCTAGGATTAAAGGTGTGTGCCAGCGTTGTAGGCTTATTTATTATTGTATGTATGTGTATGACATGTGTGATACATATGTGCCATGACAAGTGTGTGGAGGTTAGAGGGCAGATTTTAGTAGTTGGCTTTCTCCTTTTGTCTTTTCATATTCTGGAGCTTAAATTCGGGTCACCAGGCTTGCCAGGCCATCTGACTATCTTTTAGCTATCTCTTTCTTGGCCTCCCTATGCATTTCCTTCCCAGCTGTGCTGTCTGCTTCCTTGTTAGACCATGAACTTCTTGAAGGCAAGAGTGTACTCCTTCCCCTTATAGGGTTCCCAACTACCAAGTCAGCGAGAGGCACAGAGCAGTTGCTTAGAAAAGTATTTAAGTGAATGAGTGAATAAGTGAACAAACCAAAGGCAGCCAGAGAAAACATCATGTGATTTGTGGCCAGATGTGCATAGTTGGTGAGGGAATCCAGTAATAACAAGATGGCTTTCCTGTTGAGAGGCAGAAAGCCAGAGGGACTAAGAGTGGTAACTGGGTCCTTTATACTTGGAAAGCAAGAAGGAAGGGGGAGCTGGGTGTTACCTGAAGTGGCTGATACCCGTAATCCCAACATCTGGAAGGCTAAGACCAGAGGTTCCTTGGTTCCAAATCAGCTGGAGCTTCATGGGGGAAGTCAAGCTAGCCTGTACATTCCAAGATCTTACCTCAGGGAAGGAAAAAGTGAGGTGGACAGGAGGAGGACATGAAGGTATGGGAGGAAAGAAAGGTGGAGGAAATCACACATCTGACTGAGGTCAATTAGCAGCTGTCTCCATCCTTTTCTTCTGTCCAAACCTGGCCTCTTCATGTTCTCCACAGCCAAGCCCAGGCCTGCTTGTGTGTTGCATTTCTATTAAGGTATCAGGCATTTGGGGACATATGCTCATTCCACAGCCTGTTCTTATAATACCTTTCTAGCAGGGGAAGGTATTTTCCTCTAGCCTCCTCCTCCCCTACCTGGTACAAGTAGATAAGAGCTGTTCTGTATGCCAAATGGCCACAAATTCCAGATAGGTGACCAGTACCCAGACCTTCATGGTCAAAAATCAGCTTTATTTATGTAGACTGCATAGAACGACTTGACTTACTGAGTTTTGTTAAAGTCCTGCTCTGTTCTTGTTTAAAGTATTATGCCCTATTACAGAATGAATATGTTATAGATTATTAGTTATCCCAGCAGGTACTCCAGTGACTAAGGCTCAGTTCTCTCTCTTGTGGGCCATTAAGTATTTTTCATCATGTGGTAAGTACATAGTGTTTGGTAATTGCCATTGCCTCAGAGTCAGTAACAGGAAATGACAGTAGTAAACTATCTAATGAGGTATGTGTGCTTGTGTGTATGTGATTGAATGTGAGAGAGAAGATTGGAATCTACTGGTTGATTGCTTGAGGTCTCCTCCAATTGTCTCACAGTGACCTTCAGCAGGTGATTTAACTTCTTTAGGTTACAGTTTTTAGTCTCAGATATCAGGGTGGTAATTCCCACTTCATAGGGTATTTAGAGGATTCGATATAACCTGTGGGCACTATTATTGCCATCAATCACATGCTGGCATGTGAAATGTGAAGAATAGTGTGTTCTTTAGATACACACAGCAAACTTCTAGGGCAGTATTCAGTTCATGATGAGAGAGAGAAAGAGAAACAGTCTCTTTTTTCCTTTCCTATATAAATTTTTGGACAGGGTCTCATGTACCCAGCCCTTACCTCCAGCTTTCTATGTATCTGAAGCTGGCCTTGAACTCCTTATCTTCCTGCCTCTACCTCCCAAAACACGCACATGCACGCACGCACGCGCACATGCGTACATGAATCTGTCTTTTCTAAAGTGTTCCATTCACCCTAAATAAATTTAAGAACAGAGTACAGAGGGAATCTTACTTTACAATTATAATTAATTGTGGCGGATGCTTAAGGAAGGTTTACAAAGACCTGACCCCATGTAATCTGAATCGTGTGCTTGCTCAGCTTTCTGAGGTGTTCTCCATGTGTTTACAAGTATCATGTACTCAAGGAGTGTTTGTGTGTGGTGCACATGTGTGTTTGTGTGTGCACATGTGCGCATGTACTTGTTATAATAGAAGTTTCTTCTACTTTCTTCTAAGGAAACATCTTGGTAATCTTCCTTTGCTTATATATGAGGGAGCTTCCTATTTGTTTAACTCCTGAAAGAGAGATCTCATCATGCTCCACACATATAACTGCTGCTCTCTACAG